CTCCACTCTCCTCTCAGGATCTTGGGCATGCACGCACACGCGTCTGGTGTGAGTTTTAAGCCACCGCGTCCAGGACGCAAACCCCGGTCGACTACATGGGAGTCCAGCGACACAGCCATTACGCTAACTGCTGGTTCCCTCACTGACATGCTTTTAACACCATCTTTCACCATAAATTAACCCATTCCCCGAAAGAACAACAGCCTCCACAGGAATACACCACCCTCAAATGGGGATTTACCCACTATTAACAGTCCAAATGAGGACAGACCACTCAAAAAGACCCACTGAAAGAACTTCTCAAACATCATGCTATTTTCTTTCTTCTGAAGAAAGCCTCATTTAAAAAGCATGATACCAGAACATTTATTTCACTCCTGGAAACACACTCCCATTCAGCATCTACCTTCTGAAATAAATGACAATGAACTTTCCAGAAAGTTAATAGACTAGCTTTCCACTGAGTTAAGTTCTCAGAGTTTTACTCTAGCTAAGAAAGCAAAGAAACAATAACTACTTTTGACCTGTAAGTCTAAATATTAACATGCAAGGAAAGTTTCTGTTTAAAAAAAAAAAACTTAATGAAAAATTTTAAATAATACAATTTATCTTTCCTCTTTTTAATGGGAAAGGAAAAAAAAAAAAAAAAAAGCCCAACACACACAAAAATGTTCAACTCCAGAAAACATTTTTAAAGACATTAAATTCTTGGGGACCAGCAATAAGCGTAAAGGCTATGTCGCTGGACTCCCATGTAGTCAACCGCGGTTCGAGTCCCGGACCCAGTGGCTTAAAATTCACACTGGGCGTGTGTGCGTGCATACCCAAAATCCTGAGAGGAGAATGGAGGAGAAGGGACTGTGGCATGGCCATCCCCACTGGGGGGGTGATTTCTCACTTTCTGTCTCTCTCTCTCTCTCTCTCTGTCAGGTGAGCGCACGTACCCTACAGCAAAAAACCCCCCCCCTTGGAGGGGGGCGCCCTCACCCCCCAGCAAAAAAAAAAAAAAAAAAAAAAACTTCTCAAAAAAATAAATAAAAGACATTATATTCTTTAAAAAAAGGTAATTTTGTCACTAAAATCTACCATTTACTTGTTTATGTCTATCTCTTCCTACTCAAATTTTATGTCTTGTTCACCATTTATATGCCCATTGCCTTGGACAATGCCTGGTACCTAATAGGTGTTCAATAATAATTTGTTGGGCCAGCCCCCAGCACAGTGATTAGGCCCTGGGCAGAAAAAGACAGAGTTTGCATGACCAAACAGAGTTCAACTCCTGGCCCCAATAGCATGAAAAACATGATGGGTAAGCATGCATGCCCAGGATCTTGATAGGATTGAGAATTGGAGGAAAAAACAAAAAGGACTATAATGAATCAGGCCCTACTGGGGATGCTTTCCCTTACTCTCTGTCTCTCTCCCTCCATTCCCCCATCTCATGCACAAGCATGCAGCCTCTGGCATAAGACAAGAATGATAATAATCTGTTAAAGAAATGAATGAGGAAATAAACTTCCTTCTGAATAAGATGATTTTATTAACTAATTCAACTTAAATAACTTAAAGTGTTCTCAGAAAAGGAATAAAATAAAAGGTGAGTGGAACATAGGTATAAAAGATATTCACATCCTTACACTTCAAAACTACCAAGCTTCTTTCAACATTCAAGAAAACATGACATATCTTCATTTCAGACACATAAAACACAGTGTTGAAGGACACTAAAAGTTAAATAGGTTAAGAACTGTTGAGTAAAAAACCGATCCCACCTGAGATGGCCTGTCTTACTAGGTGCAGGCAAGTTATTAGTGATCTCAGCAAAGTACAGTAGAGACAGAATTGTAATACAAATTTTATTTCCATGTTTAACAAGGTTTATTAAAAATGAAAGTTCTTCCCCTTTACCAGTGCCATTAAGCAAGTGAGGTTAGAATACTCCAACAACAACAACAAAAAGCAAAGCATTACAAATTCTAGTAACTTTTGGTCAAAAATAATGATAAACACCTGCCTTTTTTTTTTTTTAAGGATTTTGCTACAAGATACAAATTCACAGAGTCAGTGAGAGATCACTCTCCCACAGGGGATGGCCATGCTGCAATCCTTTCTCGTCCTTCCTAGGACATTTTTCAAGCCACCAGGTCTGGAACCCCAACTGCAGTCAACCATGTGGGAACACAACACCCTAACCACCATGTCACCTGTCAGCCGGATAAACACCTGCTTTTAACTGTAATAGAATATTGTTTAGTGTCAGTATGAATTTAAAAATTCAAGCTATACCTCTGAAGGTTTGCGAAAAAGTACACTGAAATTCTAAGTAGAAAAATGGTAATAGTCTATGTATAATTTTATTCTACGTGAGACTCCAAAAACACTTTTGCAGTTCACAAATTCAACTAAAAAATTTTCAAATGAATAAAAGACCATAGATATACTTACATATTCTATATAAATACTTTCGGGTTTATTTCCCAGTACAATGCTCTGTCCAAGCATTATTTTTTAAGGCTGTACTTAGCAAAACCTAATTCTCCCAATGAATTCAAAGAACTTTTTTAAACCAAACTAAACTCACTTTTAGCTTTTGGCAAAATCCTCTAATAAAAACGCATGAGAAACTCAAGTTTTTTTTACTTTTAAGTGAATCGATTTTCATGAAGATAAACACTAGTATTCTACCTATCTTTTCCTTTCTCATCAATTTTAAACATTCACAGAGCATAAGGGTATATTAACTGCAGGCTGCCTTGAAAGAGAAGAAAAAAGACTTGAGAGACTGATCTCGTGGAAATGATTTAAGGTGACACTTGCAGTACTTTTTTTAAGGATCAAGCAGAGGAGACCTCTTGTTTGTACAAGCTTTTAGCTTCATAACTGGTTTTACACTGAGGAAAATTATAGCCTGCTTTACTTAGAAATGACTTTTGGGGCAGAAGGAAAAGTGGAAGGAAACAGAAGGCACAGAAGCTGTGAGGGAAGGCAAAGTAACTGGGGAAGGAAAGGGGTATACCTGGTTCACAGCATCCGTGATGATGGTGGTCAGTCTGACAGTATTTGTCCCTTAAAGGCATTTTCAGTGGGCGCGACCTACTTTCCTTTCACTGTAAGAAGCTCCTCATTGCGGCTTGGCTGCTGAAAGAAGCACAAACCCGTCACTCACCCTGAACTTCCTGGGGGGCCGTGGCTGCATTTTCCAGATCCGTTCCCATCACCCGCACCCCCGCTTTCCCTCCACAGACCCGCACCTTCCTCTCGAAAAGAGAACAGAAAGACGCACGGACCCTTCTCCAGCCCCAGCTCCCCGCGCAGGTTCACCGCCCTACCCGGAAACGCAGCCCCGGGCGCGCAGCGCTGCGCGAAGGCCTGGCCGGCTGCGCGGGCGGCGGCGGCCTTGG